GATCACTGGAAAACCATTATGGTTTGGGGACACAACCTGTCAGATAATACAACACAAGTTAGGCCAGCAAGTCCGGCAGTAAATTCAGACCAGAGACCAATACATTCTGTAATAGTGAAGGAACATAGAATTCTTACCGAATGACCTGTAGCAAAGTGACTAACTAATAGCAGCCTTGGATTGACACTTATTACTGAAATGGACATCAAAAACATACAGACACCATTACTCATTCTATATCTTTTTAACTGAAGTCACCCATTCGATTGGGGGCCTAACTGTAAACAACTATGTGGCATAGAACACTCAACTATCATGAAAGACAGTAGATGATGTACAGTAGACTTTAGAGGTTATTTTGCAGGACTCGTATTTCTTATTAGACTACCTACCAGTGTTTTCGTTAGACTGTATTTCATCCTCTATTACTAAATGTGTTTTTGAAGACGAAACTGGTGAGCTAGTCATGATAGGTATGGTATAGTACCGAAGAGTACAGTACTGTATTTCCTACGACTGTGACTTATTATCACATGGGCATGTATTATCATTATTACTGTATATACTGCCACAAAATGATAGTGATTTATGATATGAAACTCTACAATGCTATCTTTCAGTTCATGTTGATGATTGGTTCTTGATTTTGCATTCAGGTCCTGCCTTTATTGACAGTTTCATAGCCAGTAAATGAAAGTGTAACTGGACTTTAATCTCACTAGAGTAAGAGACAAATACTAAAGTTCTTGCTTTAGGAACATGCTTATTTGTTTGCTCTGTTAAATAGGGGTATAGTGTATCCCTGAAAATTGTTTAAAAATATTGCAAAAAATCACACAGAAAATGATGAGCAGAGGAGAGATAATTTTAAAGGTACAGTATACTTAAGACAGATAGCCAAGTTTCAGAATACTGAATGCATACAAAATGTAAAAGACCAGCCTAATTATTTTCTGTATCACAGACGGTACATTAACATTTTGTATTTATTAAACCATAAATTGAATACTAACATCTCATTATTGGATTTTACTGTAAACAACCTAATAAGTGCAACGGGAGCTGATAAAAATTGTGTAAACTTCAGTGCAGCGCTTACTTGAGAGAAGAAGTACTTTATTATGTGAGTGTTTACATATAACCCGGTTATTAGTTAATTTATTTGGAAGAGCCAAAATATTTTTAGAGTTGATATCACAATTCAAAGAAAATCTCCGACTTGAAAGCAATCATTAAAATTACCTGGGTGATGAGGGATGTGTCATCAGTTTAATTGTCATTATTCTGCTTTGGAGGGTCAATTTACCAATAATTAATCACAAAAAAAAGCCTGGGTTTAGAGAAAAATAAAAGTAACATTCATTTTACCTAAAAAGGTTTGGTAAAAACTTTCCGCATTTTGTATTTTTATGAGCATTGTTCTTGGTACACCAACTTTTTATTAACATGAAAAATTAAGTGCAAACACTACTGACAAAACAAATATGGTGAACAGCACAAAACAGACACAATGGTGGCACATAAAGTCGGTGTTAAAGCTAATGCTGTTATGACTTGCAATTTTATGACAAGCGAAATGTCTAACCTATTAAAGTAATCATTTTTAGACCTATTGTACACTACAATTGTCATACCACAGCAAAATAACTTATTTAATCTTGTGCAAAAGAAAAAATGTAATATTAATATTCACTTTCATTTTTAACGTCTCAATATTTTGGGTTTGTCCTCAATATTTAATTTGAACAAGACACAAGAATAATGGTCAATTAGCTTTTTCAAATCTAGTAACATTGTCCTAATTAATAAGTATTAACATACACGATAAAAAGCAATAAAAAAAATAGACGTATTGAAACATAACACAAATTTTGTTGTGTTTACCTATGGTTTAACAATTTATTTATGATTTTGGCACTTATAGGCCTATATTCTATTTTTGGCCTATTATGGATTTCTCATTATCAAAACATCTCAAAAAGCTGCTTTCCCGTAAATTTGTTAGTGTACATCGTACCCAGGGGTTTACATCTTTACGTTATTGAAAATGTATTCAACAAATGATTATATTATATAAAAAATATTTTTGTTCTAATATTTTTTTTCTTGCGGGCCAAATTTAATTACTCTGTAACTATTAAGATCCGGGGAAACATAATAACAGTGCTTTACATGCCTATCTGATTTGTTGGATAAGGTATGCTAGTATTTTCTTTTCAAGAGAAATAAGTAATAGTTTCTTGATTATATCATGGACAAATTATTCTTCCTCAGAATTATACAATACCAAGGTAGAATGTAATTTGTACACTGTGCACAGCATTGATTAGACACAGAACAGATATGTAATAAGTGGCACACCATTTAATCGAGAGCGACTCATAATCAAGGGTGGCTCTTCTTATTCAAGAAATGCGTTTATTAGATTATGGGACATGTCAATAAAGTTATTTTCAGTATGTTGTGTTATAGATTTCTTTCCACTTCATTACAATTTAGACTACATTCAACCTGGGAGTTGTTATAGTAAACTGAGGTAGAGTAGGCCTATAATTACAGAATTTCACTTTGGATGTTAAGCAGTGGCAACAAGAAACCACAGTGATTACCTAAACTGGGCTAATGTAATGATGGATAAGTGCTTGCTGATATATGCAGATGGAAAATAACAAAATTATTCTGATTAATATTTTAATTTATAGTAATTGCTAAATACTATATGAAATACCCTTTAAACACCCCTTACCTTGCATTAATAAACATACCAAAAGTAATCGATAATAGGTGTCGGAACTCTAGCCCATGCAAGAAATCTTTAAAGGGGCATTAGCATCTTGTGTAGACTTATGCTTCATAAATAGTAAATTTTGTATACTGTAGGGTAAAGATAATATTTGGTGTATACTGTATATTTTTATAATCAATCTTAATATTAAATTTAAGTCATCACAAAAATATTACTTCATGCTAAGATAAAGAGATAATATTATTTTGCTTGGAGATAATGTGTATATCTTAAACTACTCTTGAATGCAGCAAAAAAATTTGCAGCGAAATTAAAAATGCTGAATGCCATTTAATGAAAAATACAATTTGACTGTAGCTGGCTACAGGAAATGGCCTATTTGTAATTTCACTACCGAGTCTCATGAATTTATCAATGTTATGTTTTGTATAAAAAAAGATATTTGTCATATTGATGTATACAACAAAAATAGATTAATGACATTTAATCTATTATATGAATTGAACATGACAATTTCAATAACAGAATATGGAGATGGATGGAGGTCACAGGCTTCAATGCACCATACTAATGCATGATGTAATACCTGAATTTGCAATAACACTTTATTGATGAAAATTGAAAATATGCAATATATCAATGATGACAGATTACCTTTCAACGGCACCCAGTTAGTTATATTGTAAAGTAAGCTGTTTACAGTATGGGAAACGTGGGTGGCAAATAACTAAACGAAAACATGAGGTTGAAGAAATATAATATTGAATGAAATGTAAAAACATCGGTAATTTAGAGCTCCTTTGCACTTAAACACATGACACATTGGAAATGGCTACTCAAGATCAAAATTATTTTAGATGCAACATGAAATGTTGAATATACACTGCAACTACAATTTTTATATCACTTTAATAGCCTCAAATAATCAATAAAGTATTCTTCAAGACAACATGAAGTGGAAGAAAACAGCTTGTATCATAATTATTTAATAATTTAAATATCTTTAATTTAATGAACTAAAGATTGAAAGTAAATACGTACCTTTCATAAAGCCTAAAATCTGAAGCTCATTCTAATTCCTTTAAAAAAAAAATTAAATCATGGCCACCCTAAAAATTGTGTATGTTTATATGTAAATGTGGCAAATGAGAAACAATTTACCAATTTGTATTTAACAGTGACAGATTACTATACAATTTTTAAAATTTAATCCTTTTCAACAGTACAATATTTTTTTCACATAGTGTACGTTTGGCTTGATATTTTTTAGGTTTGTGTGCAAAAAACCAATTCAACTTGTACATATCACAGACCGCGATGAATTCTAGGCGGGTTTTTTTGCATTAGGACTACAATATGCATCTGTGTGGAAAGAAAGAGGGACACTAGTCCTATCGTCGTTGGTTGACAAGAGGTAATTGAAAAATTCCTTTCATAAAACAAGGTTGATTAGGACCCGGAGAAAGCTACTTCAAATTCAATATTAAGTATGAAAAATTAAGGAATTCCTTGAATCAACAGATCCTAAAACACTAAGAATTAGAACATTTAATAGGAATATTCTAGATCTATTTTAAAGACTCAAGGAATGAAATTAGATGTAGGCCTAGGCAGGAAGCCTACATCGTGGTCTAGATGAAATCATCATCACACGATTTTACCTGTCTGCACAGACCAAAAAGTGATTACTGTATTCTCTCAAATGCTTTAAGAAATGTTTATTTCTTTGACGAATGTGTATCAAAATAGCATTACAATTTTTTGAATAGTTATACAGTATATCATTGTGAAACGTTGCTTGTATGTTAGTGCATACTGCAGGAGCACATCAGTATGCTGATCATATCGCTATATAGCAACTGATCCGGCGATTGAAAGTACTTATAAAGCAATTAGTAGAGGTACGCACCGCACACTAGCGGAAAAATATTATACTTAGTTTAGATTTAATGCAATCAAAGATTTCCTTCTCTATTGTATACTGACTTATGAGGTGGTGGCCCAGGGGGTGGGGAATTGAGGTTCAGGATTGCCACTGATTTCATATCATCAATGTTTCAGGACCTTTTTTTTAAATAAATAAATATATAATTATATTCTATAATTATTTTGTGCCACTGGTTTCATCACTGTTTCAGGATTTTTTTTTTTATAAATAATTATATTCTTTAAATAATTTGTGCCACGGTCCAATAGTTTTGACCACAGCTACGTGGAAATGAAAAGTGGAGCAGAGAGGCTAGCCCAGCCCTACCTTCGTTATTCGCACCATCGTTAACACCACCGCCAGGCCTAGACGATTTTCTTCCTCCATTGAGAGGCTCATCTTCCTCGTCGAAACCGCTCGCCTTAGCACTTTGCATTCTGTTAGATGCGATGAAACTTAACTTGAATAAAAATCGGTTTAATTAATGGGTTGAAAACTTAAATATGCATCGATATCACAGTACCGCGTAGGCCTATTTGAAGTTCAGCAATATGAGATCTCTACTTTCTCCTACCAAACACCGATACTTTTACCGATTCTATCTATGCATCATGCACGTATTAGTTCAGTAATGTTTTGTTTTGCATAGACGCAAATCCAGTCGTTGCTAGTGCAGACGAATGGGGGGAGCCCTCTCTATAGAGCAGTCCTGAGAGCAGTGCTTCTTACTGGAGGCATAGTCAATAGAAAGTATTTTTCTATTGACTATGCTGGAGGAAAGTACGTGAACTACATTTAAACATTCCCGTGGTCCGTTAAGTGTGACCACTGCTTGGGTATTTACCCAAGATCTTGGTATTTTGACTTGGTCTTGGGTTCTTGGGTATTCCATTCAAATCCTTGGGTATTTTATTTTTACTAAGACAATTAAATATTTTTGTGATAGAGGAAGAATTAAGAAGTAACACAGTATATTTCAGTCCATTCAAGTAAGCAAAACTCAACTAAGTGCACATAAAATTGTTAATTGACTGTTAATTGCTATAAACATGGGTTCAAAATTGTTTATTTGTGATTTGCGTTGCCATTGATCTTACCTAATTAATGCATTACATAATAAAACTTGATCACTGATCTACTGATAACACTACACTGGCCGACTGAGGGCGTATTTTTCTATCCGTATTATCACCTCATGAATATTAATTTTAATAATTAACACAAACAATTACAATAAAAAATGGTTTATAAATTGAACTAAAAGTTAAACTATACGTGCGAAAAACACATTGTTTTCAAATTTTAATGCATTTTTAGGAATCTTGGGTAATTTTGGGCAATTTTTGCTGAATCTTGGGTAATTTTGACCCAGTTATTGGGTATATCAAAAATTGTGAGTGGTCACGCTGGTCCGTTCCTCTAGGCTAAATTTATAAGAGGAATATAATAATTTACTTAATTATTCAATTACCTTGCGCGTTTTTTTCAGGCGTTCCTTTGCTCTAACGAATGAATTTAAGTTCTTAGTTTCTAATTACTTTTCAAATACTGTAGGCCTATATATATATTTTTTAATTCTTCAATTGAGGCGATAAGCGATGAAGCTCTCTTTACTAATAAAGCTGCTCAGAAAACTTTATTGTAATCTTCATAATGTATACACCAGGTATTATATTGTGTTTTGATTAGATTTTAAAGTGTTAAAAAGTTATTATTATATAATTAGTTATACATTAATACAGGTATTTTATTTAGTAGTTATACTATAGGTCACATTCATGTTTTGGTTCCCAAACCTTTTACAAAACAAAAATTTGGCGCTTAGAAACAGAGGCTTTCTTTTATGTATTTATATAACCCAACTGTTGCATGTTTTTAAAGTAAAAATAGGCCTATTAAATGAAAATAAAATTCGACAACAATATTGGAACTTAGGAAAATAAACATTTTCAGTCTGGTGCCCTAGGCCTAATATGTGGCTTCATCCAACTTAAGGGGTTCATGCTTGTCCAATGAGGGGGTAGGGGATAGGGTGTCCCTTCTCCTCCCTGGCGGGTTAACTTTTACTTGTCGTGTTTATCAATACTGAAACTGCTGGATCCGGTTTATGATCATAAACACAAGAGGGCGGCAGCATGATTAGTTTATATCGCGACTGAACATTATGACTCCATAAATCGTGATCGTGATTGGATAACTCAATTATTAATCTATTACCTTTGCAAAAACAATTTTCATAACCAAACTTTTGTTTATTCTTTTATTTTATTATGCATTTGAAGACCACGTGCGATTGAAAAATGCTAATGCTCAATAAACCATGAACCGTTTCTATTATAATAATTTAAATTATAAAACGTTCATAAATATATAAATAAATACGAAAAATGATATCAGAGATGAATGAAGCTAAGCGGGTTAATGGGGCCATCATCATTTTAAATAATTTTCACCCAAGACCTTGCTATTGGCCACACTTTACCTAGATAAATATCTAGACTGAACATTCACTAAATTAATCGTGATTGGATAACCATATTATTACTCTACTCTCTAAACGCAAAAGAGTGAAAGAGTGCATACAGGGACCACTCCTGATGGAGTGATATAGAAAGAAAGAGATTCCACTCTATTCAGAGTGAATTTTAGTAATTTTTCGCTATTTTAAGAATAATATTTACTCATTTAAGAGTGAATTTTCACTCGAGATATGGTGCCCGGATATTGCACTCACATACCTTAAAAATCTACCTGTATTAGGCCTATGATCATATCATCAATACAACACAAGAATTATTTTTTTTCTTAATACAATTTAGGGGGTGCGACCGCACCGTCTGCACCCTGCATCCGCCCCAGGGATCCGGGTTCCTCCCTGGGAAAATGTTGATTCTTAGATACGGCGGGAAATGAGCTTTCTCTTAAAAATTCTAGGTTTTCCCCTCTTGAAAACGGTCAGGTAAATTTTTCTCATTCTTATTACAGATAGGCCTATTATGTGTATACCAGTATACATACAGAAAAAAATTGAGTAGTTGCATACGGTTCGTATTCTTTTTTCCATGAATCGATGAACCCCAGATATAAAGGGGGTCCTCCTCCGGGAAAATTTTTATTCCTAGATGGCGGGAAATGAGCTTTCCCGACTTCTAATTTTCCCATTGTAACCAAAAAACAAAAACAAAAAATATCAGCTCACAGGTCCTGAAAAGGTATGTTTAGATTATTTTTGCTTTTTTTGCCCAAGGGGAAGGGAAGGGGTAGGACCCCTGACCCCCAGATCCGCCAATGCAATGTGGTCATCAAGACTTTGCTATTGGCCATACTTAACCTAAATGAATAGAACAGTGTCCACAAAATATTATTAACATGACCAATGCCAGAAAGCCTTTTTCTGATTGGATAATCAAACATCAAACACTTTAAACATTTTATATGTTTACAAGCAATTCGATTATCTGTGTCGTTTCCATATTATTTAAAGAAAATGCTTCCATGATGTAAAACAAATAATGATAATAATAATAATAAAAATATTGTACAGTTAGGACGTAGTACGTGTGTTACCGGCACAAAAAGCATCGGTATAGGTACAGTAATTATTTCCCAATACTTAACTTGTGGTAAAATTGGTAAACAGGTACTGCATTAGAAACACAAAGTAGGCCTAATTGCAACCCACTACAAACCAAATAAAGCAATCGTGACCCAGCCAGAGGCCTTACGACATTTATTTTACTTGAAACATATTAATCAGGATATTCAATAGGCCTATGCGTCGCGGCTGTTGGAATGGAAAGAAACTTACTAAATTTATAAATAGGCCTAAGGCGTATACAGTATGTTTTTTTCTGTCTATTTAAAGATAGGGTTAAAATGTTGCCTGGTTTATGTCCATCATATTGAGTGTTATCTGCTGTTAAGTCTTTTTTCATAAAATCATTACACAGTTGCTAACAGCGTTTTCGGTGCAATCGTTCAATTCATGCGATACTGTTCCATATACGCAATCGCCCTTTGCCTACCGGTACCGGTACCACTGAAAAAGCACTGCCGGCAATAGCATGTAGCGATTTTATGGAAGCCAATCTTTAGACCATTATAACTACGAGTCGGCTCTAATTTATGATAAGGAATGTAAATATTATAAACAATTCGACTACTGTACTCTGAAGTTAAAGCCTTACTTTCTCATGAAAAGCTGCCCTTTTGTCCTTTAAAAACACAAACAAAGCTCAAACGTTCTTTCCCATAACAAACTCTTCAACCCGGTACATCCATGGTTCCTCCGAGGCAAATTGGTTTCATTTCACAAGCAATATTCTTTATCAACATTGTTACCAAATGAAGCGCACTAAATGTATAGACATTAGGCAAATAATTTCGCATCTGGAGATTTTTGACGATTCAGTACACAACAAAGTCAATGACTTAATAGAGTTGAGCAAGGGAGATATAAATAGTACCTCATTGAAAATGCGTATCCATGCTTTCTGACGATATTATGATCAAGATGACTTCGATGTGGATCAGTCTCAAAAGCATACTCGTACACAAGGCCTATTTAAAACGCGTAACACTGATGCTTCATATTAGGCCTTCTAATATTGGATAGTATATATAGAGGGGCACTTTCGTGATCAGAAAAGGTTGTCCATAAATAGTGGTTGACCACAGTGCTAACAGATAGGCCTCTACTACCTTTCTTTGTGCCATAAAAGTGTCCCCGTAATAAAGATGTCCCTGTAACATATAGGGGTGTCCCCAACTGAGCGGTGTCCCTTAATAGCGATGTCCCAACGGAGGGGGTTCTACTGTAGTTCTATTCCATTTATTTATTTTATCTATCGGGTAAGAAGTACTCGAGAATAAGCTCTCATAGGCCTAGACCAAAATCATAATCGTAATCAGAGATGAAAATCCTCATCACTATGCACATCGGACGTCACAAAAAGTCAAGTGGGATAATAAAATATATAGTTAGGCCTATTGCTTATCTGCTGATGAATGTTTTTTTTTTAACTTCCGATATTGAAAATTCACCATCAATGACGGATAGTCTATTGTATGATCTCACCATACCGTACTTGTCCAAACCTCACTTGAAATAGGCCCTAATCTAAATAATAATGAAATAATATGTTTGATCTAATTCAATCAAGGATTTTATTCAATAAAAGCTTGTGAAAAAAATCTGAAAAATAACTCAAGGAAGTTATTTAGAATATTACTTAATTTTCCAGGCCATTTGTTATGTTCTCATTATTATCCAATGACCCATTCCAGCAAGTTGATTTACAAAATCATTAAAATTGCCAACAAGTCATTAGCTTTTCGATGCATTCAATTGTGGACCCAATATAGATTATATTATATTACATACCTGGGAAATTCGCATAATCTCTTGCTTTCGATTCAGAAAATGAAGTGCGATAAACTTTCTGTAAAGAAGTAACATGACCTTTTCTAGCGCAGACTATAATTATCCCGAAGCTTGTTAGCAAAATGTAATCTACGGGAAACTACATTTTACTTGTAGTTGATATCGCGTCGAGTCGCTATCGTTACCGTACTGTTCTACTTTTCATTTTCCATCCAATATTAGAATTAGAAAAATCCGTTTTTAGATAAGATA